AAGCTCAATCATCATTTGAATCAATCTATAGCCTATTACAAAATACGTTGCATACATTTAAGAAATATATTGATGAAAATTTGGTTAAGAACTTAATACACCACTCTAAATCTCTAGCGAGGGCTCTTATCTTGTTTGTGAAGAAAAAAGATGGATCTTTGCAGATCTGTGTAGACTATTAAGGACTCAATAAGATCACTATTAAAAATAGGAACCTTCTATCCTTGATTTCAAGATTTTTTTAATAAATTAAATCAGCAAAGATTTATACAAAAATAAATCTATAATGAGCATATAATTTGATATATATTAAAAATAAAGATAAATAAAAAACTACATTTTGAATCAAGTATGGATATTTTGAATATATTATCATGCATTTGAAATCATAAATGCACCAATTTTTAGTATCTATTGAATGATGTCTTTTGTGAGTTTCTTAATAATTTTATTATTTATTATTTAAATGACATCTTAATCTAATCTAAGAATACAAAAGAATATAAACTTCATATTTGTTATGTATCACAAAAACTAAAAGATATAAGATTATACACTAATATAAAAAAGTGTGTATTTTATTCTATTCAAGTTGAATTTTTACAATACATAATTTTAAACAATGGTCTTATGATGGAACTTAAAAAAATCCAAACCATCATAAATTGGAAGATTTCAAAAATAATCATAGATGTGCAATATTTTTTGAAATTTACTAATTATTATCAGATCTCTATTAAGAACTTTTTTCAAGTTGCAATTCTTTTTACATATTTGATATGTAAAGACAAACTTAAGTGGAGCAAAGAAGCTGAAGTATCTTTTGAAGCCTTAAAGACAACATTTATTTTTGCATAAATTTTATATTACATCAACTTTTTAAAGACATTCTTCATAGAAACAAATGCATTAAACTTTGCGATAAGTATTCTTTCGTTACAAATAGGAACAAATAACAAGCTCTACTCAATAGTTTTTTATTCCAAGAAATTTTTAGGAGCTAAGATTAATTATAAGATCCATGAAAAAGAGCTTCTTGCAATCATGGACTCATTTCAAGAATGGTGCCATTATCTAAAAGGCATCTATAATCTAATCATTAAGTATAAAAATCATAAGAATCTTAAGTACTTCATGCTAGCACATGTTTAAAATGGTTTCCAAGTTGGTTGGAGTATATCATTATCAAGATTTGATTTTAAGATTACTTATTGATTTAAAAAATAATAAGGTTTATCAGACATCCTTTCTAGTCATTTTTATCTTACACCAAAAGAAGAAAATGGAGCTTTTGATCAATAAAAAATAATTTCTTTGAAGCTAAAGCATTTTCAGCTTTGAGCAATAAAATCAACATTAACTATTGATTCAACTTTTGTCAAGAAAATTCAATCAAATATGCTCTCTAATCCTCTTATTTATGATATAAAGAATATTTTTTTAAATCTCATAATATTTCTTAATTTAAATTTAAGAATAATTTATTATATATTGAGAAGTAATCATATATTCTAGAAAGAAAAGTGCAATTATGAGTTCTTCAAGTTCATCATGACTTTCCAACAACTGAACATTTTGGATACAATAAGACTTTGGAGTTAATATCAAGAGATTTTTAGCAGCTTCAAATATGGAAGGTGGTTAAAGACTTTGTATAATCATGTAAATTTTTTTCAAGATTAAAAACTCCTTGTCATCAACATTACGGACTTCTCTAACAATTACCTATTTTGGAACAACCATTGTCTTTTATTCCTATAGATTTTATCATAGATCTTTTAGTTTGAATTTTATATGATTTTATATTTATGATAGTAGATTATTTTACCAAGATGGTACTTTTTGTATTATGTATAGAATCTATCACATGTAAAGAAATGACTAAATTTTTTCTTGACAACAATGACCAAATAATAAGGTGGACTTCCTATCCTGGTATGAGACTTTATTGATAGCTGAGAGGATCTATCAACCATCTTGAAAAAGAACAAAGATCAAAGTATGTAGCAAAAATAATTTTTTGCATCTTAGATTTCTTCAATATATGATAATTGCTCTTTGTAGAACTTGTTTCTAGAAGGGAATATAATACCATATATATATATATATATATATATATATATATATATATATATATTTTAATATTTACATATATGATTAAATAAAAGTAAGTAAAAATAAATTTATTTTATAACATTTTCTAAAAAAACTTCTTAGAAGCTTCATAGATATAGCTTTGACTTTACATATCTTTATAATTGATTCATAGGTTAGAAACTTAGTCAATAAATTAATCGCATGTTGATAGCTTTGCTAAATAAGTTAATTATGTAGCACACATATAGAAAACTTGACTTACAAGTTAAGATATGTATCTTGCCAACCTATAGGATATCGCCACACAATTCTTGGTTAAGAATATATATGGACACAAGAGTTAAGCTTTCTTCACTCTTGTCAATGCTTTCTTAGTCTTTACTCTTATTTCAAGACTTTTTAGTCTTCTTATCTTTTGCAATAGCCATTTTAGTTTAATACTATATCATCTTTGTTTGATTTTCTAGTCTTTTTGAGTGATATAAGAGTATATTGATATTTTAATTCTTTGAAATTCATGTCATTGGCAATTTAGTACATGTACTTTTGGATTCTTTATAATAATGCATATAAAATAACGCCAAGTATTTCATCATGGAGCTCATAAGACATCAAGATTTGTGTCATTGTCCCCTCCTATATTTGATTCTTCATGTATTTGTAATGAAAGTTTATATTATTAATTGTTTCAATTTTGAGAAGTGAATTAATTTTGTAATATTCAACAAGTTACTATTACAATATCTTGATTGCATTTTGGCAACCACAATTAGATGTTTTTTAAGTCAAATCATCTTTTGGATGCATTATGCCAAGAAAAATTATATTTTAGTAAAAATTATTCCATATAAAACTTTCTTTTAAAATAAGACAAATAATTTTAATACTATATCTATATAAAACATCATATATAAATTTGAAAATAAACTTTGATAATACTATTATATCAAAGATAAAAAACAAGTTGCATTTTTAAAGAAAGAAAAAAAAGATTCATATAATATATCTTTTTGCAAGCATACACTCCAATTGCATAGGTTGTTTGATTCATTTTTTTGTATTCTAGTGGTTGGTAATTTTATCAAAGTCTTGATAATAAGCTCCTCCAACACCTTAATAAATTCTTCCTCTTTTTCTTCATTTATGTCTTCATTATCAAAGGCAAAATCCAACTCATTATTAAGCATCTCTTCAATGATATCAATATGTTGCAAATGTTTATACAAACCAATCTCAAAATCTCAACATGGTTAATTATGATGATTTAAAGTGATTTTTAAAGCTTAAGATGAAAAATAAATATTTTTTGTAGAAAAAATTTGTAATCAAAGTAGAAAAACTATAATTAAAGCCACTCTATATACAAATTGCATATCTTGAAAGGATACTTTTATCATCTCTTTAGATAGTTCTTGCATGGTGGCTACCACTTTAAGAGGTTTTTTGAGGTTTTTTACAAATTTCATAATTTTAGTGCTTTTTTGCAGTTTCTCTACCACCCTTGCTTTGGCCGCAAGTCAAATAGACAAAAATCAATCAAAAACCTGTTATAACCACTATCTTGTATCAAACATCAAATACCAATCTGTTGACAATCTAGTAACAATTGATTCTTTATCATTATTTAATCAGTTGATATTAAACAAGTTCATGAATTGTATTTTATACATAGAATTAATGTCTAACTAGCTATCTAAGAATAATTAATTTCACTTCTAAGGATTCAAAAGACTTGAAAGGAAACAAATACATATTACCAACACTCTCCCATAAATGCATTGAAATAGAATTGAATTGCGCTTGATTTTCATAAAGTCATTCCATTGCTACATTAAGAAAGAAGAACTTATGTAGCTTGCAAGTAAGTAGATTATGAGGTTGAAAGCCTTACCAATCTAAGTTATTTCTACAAATACTCCTATTGTATTGATGAACTTTGACATCAATGGATAGAGACAAAATAGGTATAAAAAGTATTAAATAAGCATAATGAAATGAGATGCCTTTTTTGTCCTTAGAATTGGATTTTAGCTATTCATGTTTGGAATTACAACCCATATCACAAACTACAATGGTTCTTTTTAAAATACTTTATTCAACATGCATAGTATATTGTGTAAACATATTAACATGAAAATTTAGAAATACAGCCGCAAGGTTGACAAGGCAAGAAAAGCAAGGCGCAACATAGGCCAAGGATAGAGTGCAACATAACACAATATTAGAGGAAAATAAAAGGTGTGGCAAGAATACTAAATCAAGATTTGTCTCTTGCTCCCTTTTAAACAAAAAAATAGGATTTTTTTTGTAAGAGGCAAGAAATCAAGTGGCTACTATGATTGTAACAATAATAATAATTAGAATTAGAATAATGATGAATGTGGTTGATTTTCATTTGTTAAAAACCTAATAATAGAGAAATGAATCCAAAGGTTTTTATTTATTTATTTATTTTTTACAATAGTTAAAATGAGAGGATCAACTTAATAAAATCCTAGATTATTTTGACATTTCCTATAAATATAAATTATATATTATTTTAAATTAAACATAATACACACATTTTATAAAAATAATATACAAACTAATGTATATATTCTTAATTAATGTTTTATTTGATTTACATTTCCAATATTTATCATACAACTTTGACACCTATAAAATCTCATAGAAAATTAGAAAATGAATTATTATGTGATTTCTTAAAAGAATGGTAAATTCAATGTAACACTATTGTAAAGCTTTTGCTAAGAATATATATTGTGTGAAAATTTGAAATTCATGAGAATACAAATGGGCTTTTATATACATGATCAGGTTTGCATGTTCTATCAACAATTTATTCAAGGCATGTAGGTTGAAGTTGAGCTCCTATATAACTAAGTCTAAGGAATTACTTGGAGTGATACAAATATTATTAATCCTTTACTTCCAAACTTGTAAACTAATATACATGATCTTTTACTTCCAAACTTGTAAACTAACATACATGAACTTTTACTTCCAAACTTGTAAACTAACATATATGATCTTTCACCTGCATTCAATGTTACCAAAGCTCTTCTCCTTTTTATAATTTTAATTAACTAATTTTTAAAATTTTGACAAACTGAAAGACATTTTAATTTACCCTAATAGAACCCAAGGATACAAGGAATACCTTGACAATCCACCTCATGAGTAACATAATCCCTTGTGAAGCGTTCTACAGAATCATGCAGAAAGTTACCCCTGATACTAAAGAGTATGAAGTACCCTGCTACAGAAAGTCCAGCAAGTGTAAGTAGCCTTGCCAACAAACACTACTTCCACATACTGCAGGAGAAGTATCCACAAAGCTGAGAAGTGAAAAGACAATTCGTATATGAGCAGGTCTTGCAATGACATCTCACGTCAGCGTGCGGATTGAGAGGAGGAACTTAGGCTCTCAACTTGTTTCTGCAAGTTCCGAAGCTCACGCATCAGTTGCAGTACTTCGGCAGAAACATCGGTTGCTTTCAGATTTTCCTTGAGCTTCTTCACTTCAACTTCCAGCAACTTCACTCTGTTCTCTTGTTCCTTTACCGTGACATTCATATTCCCTACACTAACGGCCTCTGATCTTTGGGCTAGTTGTACGGCCTGTATTGGCACAATCCCTTAGAATCATCCAAAGAAAACACAGAGTACTATGCAATTCTAATACATCAAAAATTCCAGGAAAGAGAGTTACAGACGAATGAAAGGGGAATTGTTACTGAATTCTGAAAACTTTGGACGAAATCTTCAGCTAAGAGGTCCAAATACACCTAAAGCTTTTGATGTCAGTTGCAAGCCTTGTGTTGCTGATGAACCCAGTACTCGCCCGTGTTAGAAAATTGAATTGAAGTAGAGAGTAGTTCACCTTTTCTACAAAGAGAAGGCTCTGCGCATGAGCTTGAAGGGCTACATCATGGTTCTGTACATGTTGTAAAGTCTCCAGCAAGTGCTGCCCCACATATTCTGTACAATGGCTTTCCAATAAACCCTGCCACAGGATACAGGATTTGTGAGTATATCGAGCAAGTTTTCCAAATCCGAACAACTTATATCACTCACAGAGCATACAAAAATTCAAACATTACTTTGTTACATTGAGATAATTAAAAACTTATCTAAGCAGGCGACTTTGTCAGACTAGTGAAGAGTGAACCTGAGCCATAACATGAGGGCACCCAACCGTATGATAAGGGCATTTGATCTTCTTCATTGGGCATACTGTTGCACAATGATTCTCCATCTCCTTGCGCTGCACCGAAGACTCGCATTCAAGGAAACATGGGAGGAGTTTGTAAACGCATGAAGCATCATGTGCATCTACATGTAAAGCAGAGAAGACATCACCACAACCCTCGTTGGGGCATGTTATTGGCCTCAGGACACAGCTGGTTTTGTGCTTATCGAGTTCATCCTCAATCTCAAATCTCATCCCACAGTGGTATGTCTTCTTTTGATCAATTCTCTTCAACAATGCTTTGGCTAGAACCTGATGAATAAGATCAAAAAACAAGAATGTGATTGAGAAACTCACCCCTAGCCGTTTGCAATCATATGCAGTGACATTATTAATAAATTTGTTGAACTATCATTGTAAGAGCTGGAAAATTTGGTTCAAAGACAGGGACTATCTAATATTGTTATTGTTGGAATGATAAAACAAGATGCAAACCTCTCTCCGACCAGCCAACCACATGTCTGTCTGATCCAGCTCATGAACAAAGTCATCAATTTTTTCACCCTTGTGTGCATCAATGACAATACCCGAGACACGAGAAAACATGTTTCTCTTTGATTTGATGAAAGTTTCAAGCATATCCTTCACAATATGTGTTGGATATGTGACCTGGGAAACAAACACATGCTTTCAGAAGAGCACATTAAGTAACTTGAGAAAATGAAAACTAACCAAGCAAGCCCTTGGACATGCAAGTCACTCTGATATTGTGGAACTCCAAAATTACAGGACATAATTGCAGTCTAGCAGAAAGGTTGTTCGGAAGGGCCGTTCTGTTCTACAACAGAGAACCATCATACGCAGGCTGCCTATGATAGGACATTCCAAATGCATGAAATCCATGGAACATAAATAGTTGCCAAAAATTGCAAGGTAGCAGGTCTAAGAACAGAATTAACATAGACTCTTACTATGTTGAAATAATCAGATAGTTGGGAGTGTGGTGGTGTACCTGTAAGGAATTGCTGCGCTGTAAGCTTGAGCTGCTATTGGCATAAGTCTGGCTTTGCTGATTCAGATACTCAAGCATTTCTTTCTTGACACCCGGTAACACAGCCACCCGTTGGCTAAGTGTGCCTGAGGTCTTTTCCACACAAGCTGCCGCAAGAGCGACGAGTAAAGCATGTGAAAGACGCTTCACCTCCTCTACATCACAAAAGTCACACTCGAAAAGCTCTGATGAAGATGACTCTTGCATTTGATCACCTGCACAAGTTCATCAATTACTAACACAATTCACCTTCACAACTAACAAGATAAACTCCGCGCAGTTGTTTAAATTGTTTCGAAGAAAGTGATGTTGCGCGAAGAGGTGCATTAATCAAGCGATGTACGAAATTTCTAACTTAATACACAGATCTTGATGAAGAAATAAGGGGTACATCAGTTTGCAAAGAGATTAAGAGTATCCTAAACTTCCACGAAGACCATTTCCTAAAACATTTATTATCCCGGCAATGACAGAAGACATAACTAACAAGCAGTTATGAACTTGAAGTGGACGATGAGAATAAGGAGAAAATTGCAGCACAATCTTCTACATGAAACTTCCTGAAGCAGCTCTCAAAACCCTGGAACTTACAATGACAGAACAGGGTGTAGACAACGAAATCAAGGAGAGTGAAACTGACTACCTGTGACAATCGTTTCAGTTGCCATGACCTTCTCACTGCCAGGAAAAAAATACAATCGTAACTCAGTCGCATTAATCTCACTCACATCAGCATATAAAACTTCCAATCCAGTATCAACTCTTCTTGAAACCTCAGAAATGATCCATCTACCTCGTTTTTTTCTACTTTCATCGTATTCAATAACTATTCAAGAAAGCACGTCCTCAACCATTGATATTGCACTCTTCGAAACACCGCAGCCGCAATCGACGCTAAAGAAGAAAAAATGGTTGTCTTCTGAAAAAAAAGAACCTCCTCACTGGGCTTGGCTTTTCCACCGCCAACTAGACGCGGGAATGGGAATGGAGTTTCCAAGCCAAGAAATTAGCAGGGGTGCGTCGGATGCGACTGCAACGCAAACCAGGTTACTAGAGCTACGCAGGTGCGATGGAGCGGCAACTCGCGGCGAGAGCCTGCGATTTCTAACTGCAGACGTGGTAATTGAACTCTTCCATATCGTCCTGAAATATTCGATTTCTAAATAAGCAGCAACACGGAAAAATACGCAAAACACCGATCGATGTGACAAGAGTGATTCAGTCCAACAACTACAAAAACTGTGATTCCAAAAAGAGCACAACAGTCAAGGCACGCAACTCAAATTCCTTAAAAGCTGTGTACTACAAGCGAAACGTTCAAAGAATGAAAGCAGAGACAGGGTCGCCGAAAGGACCTGTAAGCAATGCAAACACAAATCCCACCTAGACAAACCTGACGCACAAAAAAAAATAAAATGGCCTAAGTTAATCACAAATTGTTTCGAACTCTAATCCTCAATCCTCCGACAAGAAACCGCCTGGATCCCAACCCTATATCACGGATTCCGGTCACGGTATCTTCACAGTTAGTCAATAAACTAGCCAAGTGTCGGGTTCAAAGCAAGCCGCCATTTGTAACAACTCTTTGTTGCCAACACAGCGCGGATCACATGCCCACTAAAAGCATCAGAGATGGGCCTTTCACTTGCCAGGTCAACTCTGAATCAAACATCCATTTTGATGTTACATAAGTTTACAAAAACTGGCTGAAAAAATGGTGCCACACAAGAGCTTAATTCATTACATGCAGTAGAATCCGGAAAGTCTGTCAGAAAAGTTTGTGCTATTGTTGGGATCAAGAACTCTCTTGTGTGAATAGTTATATCAGATGTTTCCAACCATGGCATAAACCATCAACTTGTTTTGTTGGCTGTGCTCGAAGGTTACATGAGAGATATTTTCACTCTAGAACATGAACCCTGATGCCTCGGTTTGCTTGTAAGATGTGTGTCGTGAAAAGCAAGAAGAAAGAAAAGCTATTGGCCAAAAGAAGTGGTGCTCTGTTGGCTAAACTCTGTGTACCACTTCGTCTCCAGGCAGAGAGGTCGACTTCTGTTGGATTCCGTCAGATCTTCACCAACTCGCTGGTTTAGGGAGCAACAACATGAGGAATCTGGTGTGGGAGTTACCCTTGAGAGAAACGTCAGGGCACACATTAGTCAAAACCACCTCGGCGAAACGAGTATTAGCCTCCTACTTTCCCCTTAAAAAGAAAAGTGAGAAAACTTCTCTTGTCAAAGAATGAATATTCAATACCATACGTTCAGTTGTTACTCTCTACTATCATCGGCTCAATGAATTAGTCTAATGTCGAATAGTTTGAAATTTATCTCATGAGTTCTACCCCTGCAAAGCACAGTTGGTACAGATATGCGAGATTTACTGCGGCTAAGCATTGCGATTCCTGTCCATTTAGAACAAACTTTTGTAGCTCTCTGTTACAGCCACTCACTTCGCTAAAAATTATATTATTAAAGGATGGAGGTAACATTTATCAGAGTAAGCTCAGCCTGGTTATTTTAAAGGGACTTTGCTACACTGACGTGGAAGATACATTTCACATCTATATTGTCACAACCACAATGTCAGAAGCTCCCGAAACCCGCGCCTCGGTTAAGTTGATCTCGTCTCTCTTCCTGTGTTTCTATATATACATATATATGCCTCGGTTGAAATTGGGTTCATTGTTGCTAAGTTTTCAATCAAGATTGATTCATCTCCATAAAATTTTCAGTCAGAAATGTATTTTGAAGATCAGTAAGCAACAAGAAATACGCCGGCGTGACACGCACATCAGGGGTGGGAGCATGAAACAGTTGGGTGAGCGTAAGTAGTGAAGAGAACGGAGTGTTAAAGATGTATATAAATTGTGAACGCAAATATGGAACTACCAAGCTGGGTCCAGCTACTGATTTAACACGGGGATGTAGTTCAGATGGTAGAGTGCTCGCTTAGCATGCGAGAGGTACGGGGAATAATACCCCGCATCTCCAAATAGTCCAAGTTTGCACCTCTATTGGCTAGAGAATCCCTGCAGAGAGCGGGAGGTTCAGAATTCAGCACTCTGTGGAAGTGATTCTTCATGTTTCAATTTCTTCCCCCTTTTTTCATTATTTACTAATCGATTCTTGCCGTGTACATACACAATGCGTACAGGTTTTCTCTGGTTCAATCGCATAAAGCAGACCAATTGCCCGGAAATTTGTGCCGTTACCTCATCAACACCCTACAATCTGAAAAACAGAAATATACACGATCAGAATGAGAGAACGTGCTCTCAGCGAGACTGAAGAAGCCATACCAAAATGGTAGTGCATAGAATCAGAGCTGAAAGTTTGAAGGTAGATAGCAGTGCACGCTTGATTCAAATACATAAAATGCGTCAAGTGAGAACATGTTAGAAGTTAAACTTACCCCAAACATCCATAGAGGCAAGAGCCACATCTCCGGGCAGCAATGAAGTGAGAACTTCTAAGCAGATGTGGATATTCTGGCACTCAAGCGGAGAGAGAACTCAGTCTCGGTTCCACACCAACCTTGTCCACCATCAACGCCAGGACATTCAAAAGACAATGTTTCGATGCTTTAGCTTGCGACTCATGGTCAAAGACGCATTCCAAGTTTTTGCTTCGCAGAAAGCCACCCACTCTATCAATCAAGCAGGCACTGTGAAAGACATGGAAAACCTGCAAGTTCTGAAACTTATTTTGGTGAGCTCTCTCTACTCAGATCCGAGTGGAGACATACATTTGTGTACTCTAATTTTGCTTTAAGACGTAATCAACAACCGTCCTTGTTCATTGGTTCCAACGCAGCTTGTTTTCCACGTTTGCTGACCTTGTAATTAGGGGTTTTCGAACCTCAGGATGCTATCAATAGAAACCCTGTGGAAGTGCATCACCTTCCAAGACTAGTGAACTAAACGAGACAGAGGTTGCATTCACGAGATTGCACGAATTCGTAGCTTGTAGACCTTCCCTTGCAGAGTTTCTTTTACTATAATTGTGATGGACCAGCGATGATCGGCATGGCCGTACTTAGTTACTAATGAACGACGTTCGTCCAGTTACCCCTTCAGATGAATGAGAGGGGGCCGAAACAGAGCATTCGAGACTTCCAGCGCCTTCCTTGTCTTCTTCTTCTCGGCCACCGAGTGTCTCCAGCAGTCTCTTTCTTCGGGGCGTCTGTATGGTTCTGGCGATCGCTCCAAATTTCTCTGTTTGGCTTGCGTGGGGTATCGTCGGTCGCGGCGCTTTGGAGAGTTCCAGAGGGGTTATCAGGGAGCAGCAGTTGGTTTTTGAGCCAGGGAAAGGGGTTTTTGAAGCCAAGAAAGTGGGATTTAGGCTTCCTCTGAAGTGAGGTTGGAGTGGTTTTCTTGATTTGGGATTGTTTTTGAGAGTGAGGAAGGGGAGATTTTAGGTTACGGGAGTTGGAGTTTCAGGTATTTAGAGGATCGGATTGTCGGTTTTGAGGGCTTGAATTGGGGTGGGGAGGAGCAGAGAAGAGGGGATCATTAGTGTGGAGTTTACAGTAGGAAGAGTGGTGGGGGAATTTTTGGAAGGAGACCTATGCTGGCAGCAATTGCACCCGCCGCTATAAGGCGAGTGAATGGGTTGAGAAGAGTAGTGCCCCTCCCCTGTGTCAGGGAATGGAGCTCCCAGGGGTTACAGAGGGCGGACCGAGCGCCTCTGTTAGTGCTTTGGGACTCGATGGTGCCGCGGTCGCGTGCCACAGCGAGTCCCTTGTGGTCTCGCTTTTTGTCCTCGTCGGCTTCGGGGTCGGGACATGGTGAAGGCTCCGATGGATCAGGGAAGGATGGGAAGGAAGGGGAAGGTGGCATTCTGGATGCAGCGCGTGAAGATGGAGCTTTGAAAGAGGAGTCCGGTGAGAATGAGGTAGTCGGAGAGACTGGGAAAACCGAAGTGAGTGGTAAGTGGCCACAGGAAAGATTTGGAGTTTTACATTCTCTGCTAAGTGTTACGGATTAGTTTTAGCTAGCGTTTCGAAAGAGAATTATACGAGGGGTTTTTGCCAGGAGAGAAATGCGCTCTGTTGGGAATTTTTGTAGGACTTAAGACATTATTGGAATCTTCAATAATGCAACATTGCAAGTTGTTCAAGGACTTACTATCACGTTTAGAGTTCAGCTTGTGCGCCAAAATTTTGATTTGCCGTCGATACTTAAAGATCAGCTTGATTGGAGATTATTGATAAAAGGCATCCAGTGTTGGACGGCCTACGTCCTCTACTTTGAAACCCTATATCCTCGACGATAAGCAGTATTAGGTCTGCCAATGACGAATCGTGTCACCCACCGCTTTCGTTAATCATGTAGGGTTTATGCAGGGTTTAATGACTTAGTGATCAGATGTTAGGAATCCTTTGAAGATAAGGGGTCCATGCATAGTATATCTGTGACTGTTAATTCGATTAGAAAGTACGGGACGTGTGCTGCGTGTGACATTTCCGAGTAACGGTTTGTGGTTTTTCAGTGCGGTATATCTGTGCCTTAAAGGAATCAGTTTGTGTCGCATCTTATTTGTTAACAGCACATGTTGACTCTATGAACTGTAGGTTAGTCAAAACTCAGGACGCTCTGTAGTCGATTACACACTAGCGTGTTCTGCAATTCGAAATGCTTGTTTTGTCTGCGCTAATTGATCTGTCTGTGAACGTAAAAATGCGTTTGCCTGCTCGTACTCTTGGACCAGGTGAGAAGTTGAAAGAGCCCAGAGATGATCCGAAAGAGAGTACTGGAGAGAAAGAGGGTAGCGGCGCAGCGGAGTTGAATAATAGATCTCAACATGGTGCCATTGTTCCTGCTCTAGGCCCTCGGCCTGACCGGGTACGTAGGTCCCTCTTTTCCGCGTATTGGTTGTGGTTGAATCGAAATCCAACTGTAATTTGAGTTGAAGTTAAATGGTTGCCATTTGTCTGTCCTTGTTTCATTTCAGATCGTAAACCTGTATTCGACAATAAAGGATTTAGACCTGATATTTCGAAACTTTTTACGAGAAGTTTTCATATACATAGAAGTTTATTCATTCAATGCTATAGTGTCAATGCATTATGTGCACCTCTTTTCTCATGGCTTCTGGTTTAGTGTATAGCTAATATGAATTAGTTGGTTTAATCTATAGTGCTAGTTTGTAGGACGTTTTGTCCTTGATTAATAGCTTATGTCTGTCGAGTGATGAAGTCTATTCATGCTTGCGTAAGGCTCTCATACTTGTTGAACATTGCAGGTGGTAGCTGTTCCATTAACAAGGAGGCCATTATTTCCCGGATTCTATGTCCCCGTGTCTATCAAGGTATTTCGAAATTACAAAGCTTTCATGATCTGATACTCTACCTTAAGTTTAATGAAATTTCAGGAATTTGAAAGTCGATGCAAAAGTCATACTCATTACGTTGGACACACGGTTCCTCCTACAGGATCAAAAGCTTGCAGATAAGCTTTCGGAGTTAAAATCTGCTGGAACACCCTGGGTTGGAACATTCTTGCTTAAAGATCAGAAAGCTAGAACAGATGGCTCTCAGGTGTTGTCTACAGCTGAGGGGGGAGAAGGCGAAATACTTCGTGGAGAAGAGCTTTTCAAACGGCTTCATGAATACGGCACATTTGCACAGGTGAATATTAGCCAATGTGTAATCTGTGTCGAGTCTGAATGGTTTATTTAAATGGCGTAAAAAATTCTCTGAGTCTTATTTACTTGTGCACATGTTCATAGGTTGCCCTTAAGTTTCCTCTTTATTATTACTGATTAGATTCTGGTGGTTAGTTTTCGTCATGTTTAATCAACTTGATTCTTTCATTTAGAATTTTCAAATAATCGTGGGATGAAATTATCGCCTTCTAAAATATCAACCTAGTTAAGACCTCTGCGATGAAAAGTGCTTTAAAATTTGAAGGGTTCAGTTTTCTTGATTGTGTTGTTTATTGTTGACAGATAACAAATGTGATGAGACCTCTTGATGGAGAAGGTGCTACTCAAATTCTTCTCATGGGGCATCGTCGTCTTCGAATTACTGGCATGGTATGCTACAATTTCCTTTGAAGAGTCTTTTCAATGTATGGTTGCACTTACTATTTATTCTGATCATTCATCCTTGCAAGTGTTTCTTTATACTGTTTTGATGTGTGTTAAATGTGGATTTGATTTGGTTGAAGCTGGATACTGAGCCGCTGTCAGTGGGCGTCGACCATCTTAGAGTACGTGACCTTAACCTCTTGCCTCTGTCATGTCTGCCTTGAGATTTTTTGGGGATTGTTGAACTATTACATTTGGGGATATTCAGATTTGATTGTTTTTAAATAGATCTATTTAAAAACTACGGACTTTCTTGTTTTCAATAGTTCGTAGAACCGTGAAGCTGATTTATATATGAAGGTTGTCACTAGACATCAGCAATCCTGGAAATCGCTTATTTAGCACACAGTTCACCCCTTGAGTCTCATGAAATTTGGAATCGATCCTTTTCAGATCTAGAATATTTGAACTCAAACTTACTGACAGCATTACAGGATAAACCTTATGATTCAACTCAAGATGAATTAAAAGCCACTATCCTGGAAGTTGTCACAACGATGAAGGACCTTATGAGGCTAAACCCTCTGTATAAGGAACACATTCAGATGTTTGTGCAGGTACGAACCTTTCGGTCAGAACTTGTTGCCATTCCCTCTCGTTTCTTTGAATATCTTTTTGCTGTGAAGACCTCGATCAAAGGTCTGTTTACATATGTATGTAATATCTTAGCCACATTATATCTGGGAGAAGGTATCTTTGCGACATATCTGAATGTTAGAGTTCGCAAAAAATATATCGTTTCGACCGTCGTACTTTCAATTTTATGAGGATTGTAAGAGTGACTCAAATGATTGGCTTGAGCAGCACATGGGCGAATTTAATGCCTCAAAATTGGCAGACTTCGGAGCTGCGCTTACAACTGCAGATGAGCCCGTGTTGCAAGAGGTTCTTGAAGAGCTCGATGTAAGCATCTTATTCTTTATATCTTTTCTGCGTATTACCGACAATGTTATTTTGTTGCAGAGTGGGAAGCGGAATGTTCATTTTAAATATCTTGTGTTTTTGTTGGAACTCAGTAGTGTATGAGATATTCTTCGGAGAACATACTTGTTTTTTCTTGGGGTGTGTCATTTCAGCACTTAACAAAATGTGCTGAAGTATTATCGAAATGCAAGATTGACTATTTGTGTTAGTTATGTCATACATTTCTTCTGAATTGTTGTTCTAAAATCTTTGCTCGGTGTCAAGAAGGTGATGAAAGTCCAGTAGTTACTGTTTCAGCTATCAGCGTTATGAAGATGTAGTGTAAACTACAAGTATTTTACATTTGTGTTGCTGGCTCTACTGTATATGCCCAGGTTCTGAGACGATTACATTTGACGCTTGTTCTGCTAAAGAAAGAGTTCGAACTTAGCAAGCTTCAGGTGATTTTTTTGAACGGGAATGTTCTCAATAGTTGCAATTGTTCATAGGTTTGAATTCTAATCCACGAGCACTTAATGAGATTTGAAGTTAAGTGAGAATTTTTGCGGAGTATACTCAGAAAGTTTCATCAACTGTTCGTTGCAGCAATCGATCGCAAAAGGAGTAGAGGAGAAAATGACCGGGGATCAGCGGAAGTATTTCTTGATGGAGCAGTTGAAAGCCATCAAAAAGGTAGGGCAATATTTAAAGTATATTGTAGATATGGCGTGATGCATCTACGTCAACAGTCAAGAATTATCACTTTCTACGTAAGTTTTTTCCTGTGTTGTAAATAATATACTTCCCAGTAGACATACTCCCCGTATTGAATAGCATGTGTAACTGATGAAACAGGAGCTGGGATTGGAGACTGATGACAAAACGGCACTGACAGGTCTGTTTACATCTCAACTTTTCTGTCTCTTGATGCACATAATTTTATCGTCAACTGCTTGTGTTGTATATGTCCATAATGTAATCAAATGGTTTCATCCAGGTTATCTTTGGGCGATCCATTTTTTATTACGTAGATTTTTAGTTCAATCAAATAGCTTTTAGTGCATCTTTTTGTGATCTACCATCTTTTGTTGGCTTCTTCTGGGTTTACTCACATTAATCATGATGGTTCAGCCAAGTTCCGGGAGAGATTGGAGCCGCGTCGAAAAGACTGTCCTCCTCATGTCCTGCAAGTGATTGATGAAGAGTTAAACAAGCTGCAAGGACTAGAGTCTAGTTCCAGCGAATTCAATGTTACTCGCAATTATCTTGATTGGCTCACGTCTTTACCATGGGGTCATTTCAGGTTTGTTTCTCTGAGGATGATTTTTTTTAACAGACCAAGCAGCGGGTTTGTGGAAGATTTTTTCGGTTAGCATATAATTTATGTTTTAGGCAGTAGAGAAGCATTGTCGATGATTGCATTAACATTTTGACCATGTTGAGGGTAGTTAAAAGTATGTTGGCACTTTATGTTGATGTTGCATGCAGTGAGGAGAATTTTGATGTCAACCGAGCACAGAAGATTTTAGATGAGGAGCACTACGGCCTGGAGGATGTGAAGGAGCGCATTCTTGAATTTATAGCTGTTGGTCGATTACGAGGGAAAACTCAAGGTATGTTTTTCTACATGGCCTTTATTTTGTATTGCATTCTTTTTGGCTAACTTCTCAGTTTTACTTGTTCTCGTTCATTTCTATGAACAAAGATGGCATAAGAGTTGCCTCAGCGGAATAATCTGCAACATAATGCAAGCCAAGCGCTTTGATGAGTAGGTTCGTGTATATGTACGCCTTAACATGGTTTTTATAATTACGTCTAGATGCGAGTTATTCGGTATTATCGTATTTTGGTCAAAGTGGTGATTCATCACCTCCTATGTTCTGACTTGTATCTATGTTAATCTAACTTTTGTATGCAGTTGACGTAATTGTATGTGGCCGTCGAATATTTGCAGGGAAAATTATCTGTTTAGCAGGGCCACCAGGTGTTGGCAAGACGAGCATTGGGCGGTCCATAGCCCATGCTCTCAATCGTCAATTCTACAGATTCTCTGTTGGAGGATTGGGTGATGTTGCTGAGATCAAGGTAAATTTTATTCTGTGTTTTTGTCTCCTTGATCTTGTTGAACTAGGTGTATATACAGAAGTTTATTTACAATATGTCTTGATTATGCAGGGGCATCGTCGAACATATGTTGGAGCTATGCCCGGGAAGATGGTACAGTGTCTGAAAGCTACTGGTACTTCTAATCCGTTGGTGTTGATTGATGAAATCGACAAGGTACTGAAATCTCTTGCAAGCATGTTTAATTTCATTTGTTGCTACATAGCACTTAATGTTTATTGTATGTCAGAATGTTTAGTAGCGCATGGTTTTTGATAGTTGCATATTTCAATCTACACTTTTCAATTTGAAACAATCTAAGGGCCATGTCTTTCCCTTCGTGTGTTACCAGCTGGGGCGTGGGCATTCTGGAGATCCTGCCAGTGCACTTCTGGAGCTTTTAGATCCTGAACAAAATGCCAACTTTTTGGATCATTATCTTGATGTACCAATTGATTTGTCAAAGGTAATTGATTTGGTTCCTCATTGAAATGTCGTATTTTTCCTACATTGAAATGAACATAGAAGTAGTATATAGAGTTGTATGAATGTATTTGGTATTTAACACCATATGCGTTCGTTTAGGAACTTGAAGACTCAAAATTTTGAGCGCACACCCTGAATTATCTGGATCCGTCATTGAATTTGAGGTTCTTGGTGTAATTACAGCCCTATTGTGTGAATGATACTCTCTTAAGAGTGAATACAGTATTCACTTAAACTTAATATCACTCAGTTCTGCCTCCTGACCTTTTCCTCTTGATGTAGGTTCTTTTCGTATGTACTGCCAATCTAGTGGAAAATATTCCAGGTCCTCTATTGGACCGAATGGAAGTTATCCGCCTTGTGGGCTACATTACTGCTGAAAAAACTCATATAGCCCGTGGATATTTAGAGAAAGCAGCACGTGAAGGTTCAGGTGTCGAGGCTGAGCAGGTATTATTATGACTTACATTCAGAGCTGTACTTAAAACCATTTTTGACCTGCTATCAGCAGGTTATGTCGTAGCTTACTAAATCATGTATAAGGCAAAGTATTCTTTCTTTCGAAAGACTCAAATATGCAAATTCTTATGATGAGTTCTATCCAGGTGGACTTGAGTGATGGAGCATTACATACGCTGATTGAAACGTACTGTCGGGAAGCCGGAGTACGAAATCTTCAGAAACACATAGAGAGGATATATCGCAAGGTAATGTTGCCTCATTTGTTAACTTTCACATGCTCCATGTGATCATATGATAATAGGTCAAGAGTGTTTCTCGTTAGTCATTTTCCAGCTAGGATTCCTGCCATCAGGTGTAGGTATTGTGGAGGCTCTGTAACCAACTTAATCTGACGAACAATTTAATGCAAAAACAAAATTCAGTTTTAAATGCCAGAATCCTGATTGCAAGGAGATTTGATGTCCATTTTTTGTGGTATCAGCTACGATCTTACGAGGAAGAATTGTGCTGTGCATGAATATTTGGTACTTTGAAGCGGAGTAATAATCAACTTTTACTTGATTTGCAGGTTGCTTTGAAACTGGTTAGGAAGGAATTGGAAGCACTAGGTACAGGTAAGGAGGTACCTCTCACAATTGAAGAAGTGCCAGTTCTCACTGGAACTGCGACTGAAATGGAACAGGAAGGAAGCGCTGAGAAGACAAGCTCGGATGTTGTACTAGTTGAGGTGAGTGCCCATTTCGAACGATTTTACATTTGTTACAGTAATGACTGATAATCGGTGTGTGTTTCTGAATTGGAGAGCGGGAGTTACTTCTGTGGGTATTTTATTATTCAATAAGAACTTCCGTGTGAGTTGTAGACTTGAACTTGATCTTGAAGTCATTGTAAAATCTCTAAGTGTTGACCCAGCATTCTTGCAGAGAGTATGGTCGACACTATAAATGTCCCGAAGAATTTATGAAACGGTTTTACATATAAATAGGTGGAAACTCAAATGATGTTGCATGGATGCTGCGGTACAACTAGTGATGTTACGTCTGAATTTTTCAGGAGCCCAAGGACGTGAAGGAAGATGGTCCAGTTGAACCAGTGGAGAAGCTGCTTATTAATGAAACCAATCTTCCTGACTATGTGGGTCCTCCAATTTTCCAAAGTGATCGTCTCTATGAGCAGACTCCTGTGGGTGTTGTGATGGGGCTAGCTTGGACAGCTATGGGAGGATCCACGTTGTATGTAGAAACGAGCCTAGTAGAGCAGGGGGAAGGAAAAGGTACACTACAAATGACGGGACAATTGGGAGATGTAATGAAGGAAAGTGCATCAATTGCCCACACACTTGCTCGTCAAATTTTGAGGGAAAAAGAACCAGAAAACAACTTTTTTGCCAATTCAAGGATGCATCTACATGTTCCCGCTGGGGCCACCCCAAAGGACGGACCTAGTGCAGGATGCACTATGATTACATCGATGCTCTCTCTGGCTATGAATATGCCTGTGAAGAATGATGTAGCAATGACAGGCGAAGTTACTCTAACAGGACGTGTTTTACCAATTGGAGGGGTATGACACCTTATATCCTTACAACTTCATGTCCATCGATTGGCTGTTTTGTGTTTTTCTCCTAATTCGTTTCCTGAACAGTTGGGGGTGATGAGTTTTTTTATCAACTCGTCAATTTTTAATTCTTGGTTGTTGAATCGTAACTCCTTTATTATTTTTTCAACTTTGGGGTTTGTCCAGCTTTTAACTTACTGTTTTTTTGTTGGATTTTAAAAGGTCAAGGAGAAGACTGTTGCAGCAAGAAGAAGTGGGGTCAAGATGGTAATCTTCCCGTCTGGAAATAAACGAGATTATCTCGAGCTTCCAGCTCATGTGAAGGAGGGTCTAGAAGTTCATTTTGTAGATCATTATAGTGAAATCTTCACTCTCGCTTTTGATGTCAAACCAGAGTCGGAGAAACAATTGACTCCCATTGAATCTACTGTAGTGTCACAAAATGACCCAGGAGTACTTTTACATTCATAGTGAAGAGAGCAGTATACGCTTACATCTCTGTAATCCCTGTTAACTTGGGGACGACATCTCTAAATTTCTTTTGAGGTTTCTAGTAAACTCTCAGTTCAGTAATTCTACGCTCACATATGCCATTTGGTTTCTTTCCCGCTGTTCATGCGATAATCCTCTTATCCCTAGAACTTCAGGTGAGTCTGGAAAGCATCTGATCACTAAAAGACAGTAACGATTATAAAGTGATTTGGTAAAAGAAATAATTCTTAGCAGATTCTTTGTCTTCTTTATGATGAGCCAGCTAAAATCCGCTGTGAAATGGAAAAATCACATCTAAATTTGTACACTTATATTTCTCCCATTACTTTTCTGCAAACACAAAACCTGTAAGATAACGATGGGAAGAACAACGCTGAAATGAGATCGATGGAAAAGGCTGTGAAGTTCCAAGGGACGCGCCAGGTAGGGGTCGAACCTACGACTTTCTGCTTAGGAAACAGACGCTCTATCCACTGAGCTACAGGCGCCCCGCAAATCCCATTCCCACTCATTGATGTGCATAGAACATTTGTGGGATAAATTTTATAAAATATTAACTCACTAGTGGTGCTATTCGATTTGAAGCAGTCCATGTTCCTTCTGAAGCAGCAAGTCAGCCCTGCTCTGGACAAACATGAATACTAAACACGAGCAAAAGCTTCAGAAATAGTCGTACCTCAACATCTTAGAGCTCATTGTTTCCGCTGTGGGTTTGTGAGCTGCAAAGAAGGATTTCGACGAGATCATTCTCTGTGCTTCTTCTGCTCCTCATGCTCACAGCGCTTTCACGGTGGAGCTGCCGCAGCAAGTTTTGTGGTAGATCCGTGTGTTGATTCTGTGCAGCTTCTGCGAGTCGATTGGTTGGGCTGCATCTCCAAGAAAAAAAAAATAGCAACGGATGCGTCAGTTGAGTTGAGTTCAAGTAGCAGTGAGACCAGAGCGGATGATTGCGGGACACCTTGTGGAAACCCTAAAACCAAAACCCTAAACCGAAACCCTAAATCCAAAGGCTGCACTGATGATTAAGCAAGTGGGTAGGGGGGGTTTCTGAAACCTCTTGAACTAGTGAAGTCATATCTCAAAGTTGTCATTTTCATTTCCAAGTTTCAAAAAATAAGAATTTTCCACTTATTTTGCTTTTATGTAACATGCTAGTTGAATGTTGTGCAAATAAGAAAAGAAAGTTGTGATTGAGTAATATCTGCAACTACTAAATGCAACATCTGCACCTTTGTCATAAGTTTAATTCTATTTTTTTGTCATAATTCTTCTTGTGTAATTTGGAAGAGTAATAATGTCCAATTCAACCATAAAAAGATTGTCACATGTTTCTTCAAAGAAAACACCCTAAGACATACTATTGAGTACCATTTAAAGAAAATACATTTACAACTCATTACCAATTTGGAGATAGCTTTCAAAAAAAAGGTACATCTGTAGATAATTATTTTTGACATTTTATCATTGTTTATATTCAACAATCAATTAATTTGAATTAAAATATATTAAAATAGGAGCAACAACTTCAATACATAAAGTTTGCAACCAAGTATTAGGAAGTGTGAGTAAATTCAACTCCTCAAGCTATAAAAATAGGATATTGTTACTACCACTACAATCTACCATCCATCACATGTCTATAATTTTTGCTACTACCACCACAAGTTGCAACCCACTCAACATGTTTCTTTATTTTTTTTTTCCAATAAAAAATACTATTAATATTTCAATATGTTTTCTTTTTCTTTTTCAAATTATATAAAAAATATTGTGGATGAAAAATAGTGGTGGCAATAGCAAAATTTGTGACAGCATTAATAACACCCTAAAAATATAAGATATTTTAAGGCTTTTCTTAATTTTATATTTTCTTTGATTTATCTATATTTTTTAATGTAGATGTGACACCTAAATTGATATTCCTAAAGATATGTAAATTTAACAAGATGAATACTTTTAACATCTAGTTTTTAAGCTTAAAAGTATCTCAAAAATAAATTTATATCTATATATTATATAATGCATGTAGATAACCACCTAAGATTGGATCAGGTGAACAAAAGAAGATAGTATGCACTGAACTAATGAAGAGATAAGGAAAATAAAATAAGTTAAAAATTAAAGTGAGTTAAGAATAAATAGAATAAAAAATAAACCTGTACAATTAAACATAACTATGACCAACATCAAATAGTTGTAGCTTATTCGAAGTTACTTCAGTTTTGTAATCCAAATATTTTTCTATTTATAAGAAAAGACACAAAAGTAGACACATTTAGATCAATTTTAAACTGAAATTAAGTATGAAATTGTATTCTTAATATTTCTATCCTGAAAATGATATAAAGGAGTTGAAACATGTTTTGAATGTTTATATAAGAATTTGTTGAATTGACATTTACTTGTGAAGGTTGTGGTTTTTCACAATTTTTTTTCATTTGAGGATGTTATTTTTTTTGTTATTATTGTTGTTATTTGGGTTCAATAACTTATTTCTGTTAATTTTTGAAAGAATGATTGTTTGACAATCATGTGATTATTGTTAATATTATTAGTATTATTAATATTCAAAAATCTCTTTTTGTTATTTACCTAAGAACTGAAAAACAAATACAAAATAAAAACTGTGGAATACAAAAACTCTTGGATGAATTCAAATTATGAGTTGCATTAAAAAGGCACTTGAAGATTTTGTATAACTTAACAAGCTAAATACAAGACTTTGATATCCCTGTGCATAAATTTATCTAATAAAAGTCTTTTAATATTATCCATGCAACATTGTTTAAAAATGTATTATTACACAATATTCATACATATACAAACAAGTAATTGACACTTCTAACATGAGTTCTAGATAAATTAGAAACTATTACAAGCATAGCAATGAAACCGAAAAACAAAATTTCCATCCACTAAAAGCTGATGAATTCAATTCCTAAAAAGAAGAGAAGTGTCAAGCATAAAGAACATATTAAACACACTACCCACTGTGGAGTATACTGTCAAACTGTCCACTGTGAACCATATGCAGCATAGAAAATCGACACAACCATGCCATTCACAATGCTACCAGACGGACTTTGAAGCCTCGAACAAATTGTCTTTTTATGATGTTCTGCTTCTACGGTGAAAAACAAGGTACATGCTTGCCCCACGCTAGATCAAGTACACAATTAACCCACATGACAGGAGCTACAAGTACCGTAAAAGTGAAGCTCTTTATTGGCAAGATGTGCAACCCCAACGAATCAGTAACACCACGTCCCCTTAGAGAACTTGCAGCAAACATCACCAACGCCGCAGCTTGGGTTCATGGCTGAGCTCCATGTGTAGCTCCAATCTGCAATGCACACTTAACATACAGCCATGCTCCAAACATGTTTATGTACAAAAGCCATTGCTCAAGCCTCCATGGGTGAACCAGACATGAAGCGATCATTAGTGTTTGACAGTGATCAAATCAAATGCGAAGTGCCAGCCAGACACCAAACATCACAAGGGAAACTGAACCCAATTGGTGAAAGAAGAGCTGTTCCCGTATACGAGCGGATCAATGCTACATTCTTTACCTGAACATCTTTGTATAGGCCACCCACTTCCCGGACGTGGGCAAGCAACACCAACCATGTGCAAGCTGTTGTAAAGGAACTTGAGCCTGTAAAGAGCCCCTGTTCTAATATTCTTCTGCTCCGACCCCAGTGGGATGTTGCTGGAAGAGACAGCGAGGGAGACAGAACAGTACGCACCCTAACCTGAGCCTATCTACAAGCGTTGGATTGCCGTTCTGTACAACGATAGTACTATACATTAACAAGTCGACGATGAAATCGTGGAGTTGAGCGATTTCTACGCGCATGGAAGCGACCGGGAATTCAAGTGCAAGTCGTGATGTTGGAGCTGCTGAACTTCTCGCATGTCTGTACCGCCTGCTGCTCCACCACGGGTGTCTTTTTCGGTTGCCCCGCCACCTGCAGCCGCAGCCGCATTATCTCCAACTTCAGACTCTCCCGTCTCTCCATGTGCTTCTCCTGCATCTCCAGCTTCCGGTCCGTCAACTTCTGCTGCAGCTCCAGCCGCCGCTCCTCCATCTTAAGCTTTCTCTCCAAGTACTTTTCCTCGCACTCCTGTCGCTTCAGCTCCACCCTTTCCATAAACTCCAGCCGTCGCAGTTCCATGACCATGTTCATCTCCATCTTGGCCTGCTCCACTCGGGCGTAAGTATCCGCAAAGCCCTGGACAATCTTTGCTAGATTCGCAGCTGTGATGCCCGCCCCTAGCTTCCTCCGTTTCACATTCTCTCTACCGTGACCCTCACCAGGATTGCCACGGCACTGGGAGCACGGAGAGGGAAGAGTCTGATCGGCATTCGGGGGACAATGTTCCTCATGGCAATCGCCGATCCTCGACGCCGCAACATTCTTCAAGTTCAGGCCATGGCGATCGTCATTCAGATGCACTTCAGGCTGCATCGCGGCTTGTAATGGAACCAACCGGCTGCTATCCTGGTGCTGCATTATGTCCACCGAATGAGCATGGGCGGCCTCCACACGGTGCTGATGTTGGTGCGCCCCTCTCACCAAGCCCATGCCAACGCTGCTCATCTCCCGCGTCGAAGTACCCCACAACATGTCGCACCGGTCGTACCACTTCCACGTGATCAAATTCCGGTCGCTCTCCCCCTTGCTCAGCTTCTCGCGCTTGTATCGCTTCTTCAGCGAGTCAATCTTGTTCTTCATCTGCGGCTGCTCTCGCTGGTGCGTCAGCCGTGCGTTCACCTCCCGCACCACCGTTTCCCAGTGCCGCTTCCCCAAATTCTCTCGCTTCACATGAATGTAAGTATCACCCCACACATCCAGCAGCGCCTCCACCTCTTCGTCAATCCATGTCTCCCTTTCTGAGCCGAGACTCTGCAGACCCGAAGTACCATCCATCCTCTCCCAGAAAAGGATGAAGAAGGAGAAGAAAAGATAGAGAAAAGTCCTCTTTAAGCCTCCGCACAAAAATCAACGTCCTCGCCAGCTCTTTCCCTCACAATCCACAACGTAAACCCAATGCTTCACACGACGACATCGTCGATGACACCAGCAGCAGCTCAATCAGCACTGGCAGCAAGCAACACGAGCTCGCCTCAGCCACAAAAATCTGTAATCATTCCACCCCACCTGGGCACCCGAGCGACAGAGCACCCGAATACCAAACCCTACGACAGCCCTGCACCGGAGACGGAAATCCGACTCCCGACCTCAATTGGTAACCGATTCGGGAACAGCCAGGCGGGAACCAGCGGCATCACGAGGCCGCGCACGAGCAGCTGCAACTTTACGATCCAAACAGGAATCCGCGACTCGGTGGCCGAGCGCAGCTATGCGGCGGTGAGTCCGGGGGTTCGAGGTCACGAAAGCCAGACTGCAACCCGCCCTCACTCTTCCCATGGCTTGCGGCAGCGGCCGGCCTGCTTCCCTCCCGCCCCCACTTTTGCCTTTTCCTGCCCTTTTGCTTTAACCGTAGACTGCCTTAAAGTAACGCCATAAAGTATCTGCGTAATTCCTCCGCACATTCACCACACCCACGTCGCCCATCAAAAGCGGTTATTTGCGTGCCACGATAACATTCGCAGGAAATATTTGACTCTTCCAAATAACACCGAATCTTCAGCGCGAAGTTTTGCATTTTCTACTCCAGATTCATTTCTTGTTGCCAGTTTGCTTGTGAAGACGAAGCTTGTGGGCGTCAAACCGCAATATTTTCAGTGTGGAATTGTTCGGAATGTTATCTTAAGTTCAGGTTTAGTTACCTTTATTTTAGTAATTGTGTCGATACACAGAATTAACTTAAGATGGATGCGCATGACGTTGGATGTTGTGAAAGAAGGGGAGCATCACAATCAAGGGTAGAGCAGTCGTGCAAATTGATTAGAGCTTTGAATTTCTCCTACCAGTGTACAGAAACATGTGTCTAAGATGTCTACTTACGTAGCGTTGCTGTCCCTACCCATGACAATACTATTTTCTGCAACAAATGTGAGCTGTTCCGCTACTGCGGCGTTGAAGCTCATGAGCGTGGAGAGAACTTGCGATGTAACCGCCAGCTCACCGCATCACTGTTCCTTGAATCGATCGTAGCAATCAATGCAGCTTTGCGGATTCTGATGTTCCCTCTTGTGATTCCGAGAAATGCTGTTCCTGAGAACTTGCTGATCATCCTTCATTTACCGATTGACGAGGTAAACTACAACGGCCACTGGCCTGTTTCTCCTTGCGAAGTTTAGCCTTGTTCCAAAAGAATATCGTTCCTACGCTTGAAGTCTCCCCACCACAACCATGAACTCGGGAACTTCGATGCTACGCTTAAGCACCACATGAGAGATGGTATCCATGAGATCCACTGCTTCCATGGAAGGCGTTATTAAAGACTTTGTCTGTTGCTTAAGAATGAAGCTTACCTATCCGCTGCTGCAATATTGTACAAGCGGTGTTGTCACCAAGTCTGACTCGAGACTTGATGCCCATGTATGAGGGCGTTAACCATAATGATAATAATAATAATAAAATTTAAAGGGGGGGGGGTGCCATATTGTCCCCGCAGAAAAACGAAAAAAAAAAATTAAATATTTAAAACGCGCCATCCTGTGCAATCAAGTTCCGTTTTCCATATCCGAGCGGGCTTCTTCTCTCCAAAAGAGCACAACTTCGTCCTCCGTCACATGAATCACGGCTGCTAGCAGCCGCGAGGTGGCCAGATTGATGCAAATTGGAAGTGTAGCATCGAAGCATGTGATCGATGCACTGGAAGCGCCTATAGGATCCCGGACCGTGGGATTTGGCTGCTGGGGATTTGTCGCTCCGAAGCTTGAATTTCGAAGAGGTATACTTCATGAAGGAGCAAGCAGCTGCGAGTTAGTCAAGGGGCCACGGGAGCTGGTGTGGGATTCCCTGCTACTTTGGATTTGGCGCAAGGGACTAGTCTGAGAAACAGAGTGTTCCCTTTCGCCTTGTGCAAGCTCTTCACCCTGGACTTCCGCTGATGAAGCACAAGCAAAGGGAAATTGTCAGTGTCGCCATACAAATGCATCCAGAAGACTGACCGGAAAGCGATGGTTGAGAACTTGATCACTCTTAGTTGAGCAACTTACCATCAAAACGCCGTGCTGAGGTGATGCTCTCCTGCAGCACAAGGAACTTTCTCTCGGTAATCCACGCTGAGCATCGACCCTGTGTTTCAAACAGAGATTCATTTACAATGTTGAGGCACGTATGGTGAATGCTTAGTTTTTAACTCATGCAGTCTATTTGAGATTACGGCAATCGATTGAGAGAGCATACGCTTACGTGCTATTGCGGATGTCAGGTCTTGCTGGCGCTTCGCTGTCATTTTGCTGCTGCGAGCTGTTTCTCTGAGCTGGATGTAGATCTTCAACCTCGCCTAGACGATCCTCGAACGTGGTGCTCAATGGTTTCTCGTCTTTGGGAGGTCTTCTGCCACCACCTACGCTACCGAAACTGCTGGAATCTTTTGAAGCCACCCTTATCTCCCGCACATGAATGGCTGTCTTGGTTCCTTTAGAGCTTGCTGCCTTTGCATCCCCGGATCGTCTCCCTCCCCGTCTCCGAATCGGTGGCGACCGGCGAGGAGTAATGCCCTCTGGCTCTGACTGCTGCTGAATATCCGGTTGAATCTCTAACCCCTCTGTGGTAGAGGATACTTGACGATGCCTTCGGGTTTTAGTGGCTCGTCTCTGATGACTAGGTGAATGCGCTCCCTGCGCATCCTGCACATGGGCACCATGAGCGATGGAATCATCATCTACAACACCCTTGTTTTTATGCGGTTGTTGAGTAGATGGTCCAGGTTGCTCAGCATTAGAATCCTCAGTCACGATCTCCAAGTCCTCGTGATGAGTGGATGGACCCGGCTGTGCGTCGGCCAGAGGTTCACCAGCACGTGCAAGCGCAGCATTGTCGAGAGGGTTGTTGCTCAAACTAATTTGAAGCTCAACATCAGTGTTGAGCACGGCTTGAAAGGTAGAGGAGATGGTCCTCCATGACCGCTCCGCTTTGTACTTATCACGCGGATGGTCGAACTCCAATGACACAACAGCCAATGACCCATCTGGAGTTTCAGAGCGAAAGAGCGGGTTAAAATTACATGTCACAACCACTAAACCCTAAATCCAAGGAATCTCTCACAGAAACGAAAGCAGGTGACGCAATTAACTTTCATTCGCAACTTACCACTGGCGACGCCTCCTGCAACAAGTTGCCCATGAGTCTGTAGTAGCTGCCTCAAATTCCTCGACGTGATGTTCCAGAGCACTGCCCTCCAAAGCTCCACCAATTCATCGTCTCGAAATATCTGAAACCCTAACGTCGTCTCTGACGCACGTCTGAGTGGTTCTGAAGTCTCTCCGACATGCTTATCCATCGACTTTTGTTGAGCTGGCCCCCTACCCCAAGCTTCTTCCAATTTCTGCTCCGACAAGGACATCCCACCGTCCTCTTCTGGAACCTTGGCAGAGGATTTCTTCGGCCTTCGCTTGTCTGGTTGGGGAGTTTGAACTGTCCTTATAGATTCTGTAACTTGAGCCTGATACTCGGGTTCGTTCATCGATAGATGCTCTGTCTTGGAAACGGGGAGACTGGTGGATGGTCTCGCGCTTGTTAGTGCCACATCCGTACTTGCTTCGGAGGGAAGAAATGACCTATCGGGTGCAAACTGCAAAAGCGCGGCTGTCAGCCAGGTTGCTTTATCGCCTGCTCCTCGCAATTGCAGTTCAGCTTCCGACAGAACCTTGAGCGCTTGTCGTAGCCGATGTTGCTCTACCTTCGCAGCTGCAATGAACGACAGAATTGCTTGTTGACAAAAACGTACGTATGTAACAACAACAGTAATAAACCGCCGAGTGTTGAAGTATGCATTCAACATGAGATGATGAAATGGAACTGAAAAAACAACTTCAGGAAAAGAAAAGAAAAAAGAAAAAAACACTTACAGAAATTCCGATTGAAGAAGGATCCATCTTTCCGACTGCCTCGGTCCACTTCGAGGCTGCCAGCGAGAATGTCAGTAATTAAGCCGCCCAATTGAGAGACGAGCCTGAGAGGTTCTACACTGGAGGCCAGCACTTCTCGCAAGGTCTTAACTGTGTTGATAGTGTCGGCTGAGAGAGCAAAGTCCAGCAAATCCAAATTCTTGTTCACCGGGGGAAGGCCACCAACCTCTCGAACTAAATCCACCGACACATTCTTGTCCAAAAGGCATACTTGATCGAGAAGGATTACAGCATCTCGAAGCGACCCGTCTGATCTCGCCGCAATTAGCGACAACGCGCCCGCCTCGACGTGCAAACCCTCCTTCTCAGCCAAGTATTCAAGCCTTTTTACGATATCTGCTTCACTCACTTTGGAGAAATGGAACTTCTGGCATCGCGAAGTTGCAGTCGCCGGGATGCGCTCCGCATCCGTGGTATTGAGGACAAACACCACATCTTTCGGGGGCTCTTCCAATAATGTCAAAAACGCATTCCATATGTCGGTATTCAGCAAATCGCACCCCTCGACGATGATCACCTTGTAGCGAGCGTGTGGCTTCAAGCTGCCCATCATAGCTTTCAGACTCGCCATGTCCACATTCGAGGCTGCCTCAATCTGTCGCACGTCTGTGTTCCGGTTAAGCACCATTGTCGCACACTCCCGGCAAAGTCCACACGGGCGTGTTGAATAGTCCAACGACTCGCAATTCAACCCTGCTGCCAACACTCTAGCAGCCGAGGTCTTGCCCGTCCCACGGGGACCCATGAACAGATACACCGGGGCCACTTTCCGTTTCATGATCGCGCTCGACAGGCTCTTCACGACCATGGGTTGACCCACAATGTCCTTGAAATTCTTGGGTCTATACTTGAGTGTCAGCGTTCGATTCCCATCTGATGGTGCCTCTACTTTCGACCCGCTCGTGGAGGCTGCTTCTACAACTGGAACATCCTTGACGGCATTTTGAAGCAATACCCGACGATTCCTCTGCCATTGCTTCTGCGGAACCTCTCGAGACCTCATCGTGTCAATGTAATACCCCCCACCATCGCTATCAAGTGTTTCCTCGCCGATTATGAATGGCAATGCGTTCGCGTCTGAATCCAGCGAAGAAATGGACTGCTCATCCGGGGGATTCTGCCCACTCAATAGAGAATCAGATCCGTGACGCCTTCTCGACTCTGAAACCGCCCGTGCCAAATCAGTCACGTCAATATAAGCTCTATCGCCATGTCTGTGTATCCGAGACGAATCCCACGGAACTGTAAATTCGGTTTGCGGTGGGAGTTCAGAGACATCGAGCTCATCGTCTATGACAACAGCGCCACGAAGCGGAACTCCATTCTTTGAGCCCGCTGCAGCTTTACCAGTCCTGACTCGAGTTAAATGGGTATTCCTCTCTCTTGGCCTGAGCTTCCGCCGGCCACGAGCGATTCCAGGCTTTGGCTTCTTAAGGTCCTCTTTCCCACGCGACGCTGAGCCCAAATGTGTCGGCGATGCAGGATTCAAGGTTGCAGGCTTCGGTCGCGTCGTCTCCCTCTTCACGAGATTGGCGTCGTCCGCATCAGTCTCGAACGCACTCTCGCCACCGCGATCGCTACGACGCTCTTTATCACCCAACGTGCCCAAGAAGTTAAACCCGCTCCGACTACTTCCGACATGATTCCCCAGAAGCTGTGACAGAGAAGACATAGAGAAGCCGCGCTCATCGATTACTCTCCTCGCAAGCTCTTCTCGTCGGGCAGGCCCAGATTCCCATCTCTCGTCTGACCTAGGAATGTTCTCCAGGTCTTTCTCTACTTCTCCCGGCAATCGCTCCCGAGTTTTCAGTTGCTTGAGAAGTTCCTCCTTTCGCAACTCCCCGGAATAAGTCCCCGATGTGGATCCAGCAAAAGACTGCTCAATTTGTTTAATTCTCTCTCTGACATCCACCTTCACTGGATTCCGCACGCCATCTTTCTGGTCATTGCCTGGAGACGGAGCTTCCTTGGATGCCATTTTCTTTGACACGCCCCTTTTGGGCTGTTTGTCTATGTTGACACTTTTATCTGCTTGAATTTTTCGTTGTATCGATACTTGAAGGCTCCCACCATCGCCCTGGGAAGGAAGTTTTGCTGACTTCGCAAGTTTTCCCGACAGCTCGATAGCGAGCGCTTGCGCATCTTGGTGAGGATCGCCAATCAAGGTTTTTAATTTCGCCTTCTTACTGCCAGAGGAGACAGAGGAATTACTCCCCGGATCTTTCAAGGCTCGTGCCTTCCGCAGAGCTGTCAACTCCCTCATGTGAGGTAATTGTGGTAACGGCGTCCGCTGGCCATCCACCATAAGACCGCTGTGCGCTCTCTGCAAGAGCAAGTGAAAGTGGCGCTTGATGTGAATATTGTTCGTCAAGTGAACATGCTTAAACTCTCCGTGTTTGAGATTCTTCTCAATTCTCCGTGATTTCTTGTCGATAACTAAACTCTCACTTACATGAGCCTTGCCAGCCGTTTGGCTCATACCTCACAGGGTGCTCTTGCATTCCTCACTAAACTTCAAAAAACAAATTAACGAGACACACACACACACACACGGAGAGAGAAGAAGAAGAAGAAACAAAAAAAAAAAAAAAAAAAAAAAAAAAAAAATTAGGAATGAGACTAAAATAGAGATACAGACAAAGACTCACGGATACAATTTCAATGTGGCACTACTGAACAGAAAAATTCTCACTGAGAAGCCTTAATTTAGAACCGCTCAAAACTCCCACCCAGGCAAACACTCCTAAAACCTCATCACAACATCAATTGGGAGGCTGCAGGAATCCGCCATGGAGCTCGAGAGCGGCGCGCTTCCGAACTGAAGTTGAGTTCAGAGTTCATGGTCAAGGTACTGTCACAATATCCCACTCACGCTCGTCGATTTTCATTGATTCAGGAATCATTGCATTGTTAACTCCAGAGAAAATGAGATTTGAAGTTCGGTGGCATCCAACAACCGTGCTAGAATTTTTATGAGCCACTCAACCAACCCTAAGGCTTGAAAGCACACACTATTCCTGAGACTAATCTTAAGTACCCGATAATCTAGAAAATTTCGCGGGTCCTGGACGGAATGAAGCTCACTAAACCAACCCGAAAACGAACTCGAGGCAGCCTAATAACCCCGTCATGGAATTATCGCAATTCGGGGTGTCTGACGTGAACATCACGAGTGATAGAATGAGATTGCAGAGCTATAATTTCAAAAGAGCGGAGCGTAGAGGGCCACTCTTCAATGCGCCTACTTGCGACGAATCTCTCCTAATGGACGAAGTCAAAAGGTTGCAGTCCCCGACAAAGTCGATCAGCTATGATAGTGGACCAGTCTGCCACCACCCTCCTTGCCGACAATGATGAAACGAAGCCACTGCATCTTACAAAGCAATCTTGATCTCCAAAACTCTGAATTCAAAACTACTTGCAAAACCCTGGGAGGAGGAGAATCTACGGCGGGGTTCTAAGGCGCAGGCTTCCTCGTCACTTAAGGCAGCGATTCAGTGATATTATATCGCAAGCCGACAACTTAACCACCGTTGTCTGGACAAACGACATTAATGCTAAAGCCGACAAGAATTCGGCGATATTTTCGAAATACCAAAAGGAGGAATTATTTTTTGATTCGTCGATCCCGCTCTTTCCTGAGCATCATAGAGATGGGTTCATCGATACTAGAAGATAAGAGATCGCGTGCACGCACTGCTGCACAGCCAAGGTCAATGACGAACCCACTTCTCCTGCGAACGACTCCATTCCAACCAATGTGCAGCCAAAGCGTTCGATAAGCCACCACAGAATTTTAGCCTCTTCGGCGTACCGAAGCAAGTTCAAGAAAGGAGAGGATCGCGGGATAATAGACACAGGACGTAGAAATTGTACGAATGCCCTCCAATCACGCCTTCGGAAGTCTAATGCGCACGCTACTACTCACTGCAGCGTATTTCTATGCCTCTCGTACACACGAATCGAAGAGAATCGTTAACAGTATCGAAAAAAACACAGAAAACTTCAATCTGCCCGTAACATTCACTACATTACGAACCGTGTTCTTCATGAAATTGAGTCCGCTTTCGAAGGTCAAACTCCGGCCTCCCTACAATGCATTACCCGCGCTAATGGAGGAGACGCATTTATTACCTAGTCTTTTCCACCACTCCGCAACACTCAACCTCTAGACAACCTCTCATTCCCGCGAGGATCCACACCAGTCAGCGCACCAGGCAAGCACCCCAGCACTTACTGAACTCGGTCTAGCCCAGTCACGTAACCACGAAGACGAAGACGACGACGGCAACCGCGACTTCACTACTAATCACGATGCTTGCTACTACTGCTGATAGTTCCTACATCTCAAGGCTCGAGAGCTGACCTGCGCAGTCGACGACGGTGCAGCAGCAGCAGCAACCCCACACCGACATGGATGGCGGGGTTTGACACTTCGACTGCTACGCTTCGCGCCCAACCTGTCCACAAAACTCTCACTGACCTCGAGATTAACTCTCGGCGCTCCCCATAAGTGATCAGAGCTGGTCCCCCCTGAAAGAAAACATCCTTCCGAGTCCCAGTCCCAGTCCCAGCGCCACGCAGCACCACCCTTCACCCTTGGAGCTCGTCGCACCCGCAACCTGGAACCATCCCCACGTCTTTTGATCGTTTCGATCCGCGTTCTAAACTGTGTAATAATTCTCCGATATCCAGGATTCCGAAGTGGCAATCTACCGGGGAGAGATGCCACGATTCCTGGCGTTACCCGACCCAGCTCTTGACTTTGTATTCTACCCCTAGCAGCGTCGACGAATTTCGTCCACGGAGCCTGATGGAGTCAACCCGTCGTGTTGCACAGAGCATAGTTTGAGAGGGTGCGAGAGGCGCTGGGCCCCCACGCGGCACTCGACCCGACAGGACCCAGGTGAGGATGGATCGTTGTTGCCCTCCTCGCATCTTTTTGGGTGCTGCGTTGTTTGGCTTATATTTAGCTCCCGGGCTATGCCGGACTGTGCTCCCGCGCTGTGCAATCGGAGGAGGTGGGGTTGCTTCAATCCCCGAAGCACTCAATCGGAGCGGCACCGCGGTCGTTGCGGATCCTACTGGGCGCGCTGACGCGCATACACGCGACACTCACCCCCTATTGCGTGACAACGCGTCGCGTTAGGTCGCGGCGCGGCGCGTCGCGGCTCGAGAGTTTCGGTCGCGAGTAAAGGCCCCACAAACTTCTCTTTTGTCTCGCCCTCTTTGTTGATGGCTTAATCCATGTTTCTAAAAAAAAACCCACTCTTGAATTTAATATTAAGAAAAAGCACCAGTTCCTTTTATCTCTCATTTTTTAAGTTTTTGAAGCAGCAGAGAGGGTGTCTATATGTCAGTTGCCTTCAGGTAAGGAAGGAATTTTCTCACAGTTAGGGTTCGAACCGCCAACATCTCTGGTACAAATTTGCCAGCCTGATATTGATGCCACTTGCCATTCTTTGACGGTTAATAATAATTCTTGCTTTTTTTATTTTTTTATTTTTTTTGTATTTGGGTGGACTTAGTCAAGAGTTTGTGTTTATCATCATACATATTGCTTTTTGCTGCTTTGCTATTTTAGCTATTGTAATTGCCTAAGGTTGTACAGAGAAGGTAAATATTTAATGACAAAACTTGAATTGCCTATGTTGATTGAATGATATCACCAAGTGGATTGATTGATTAAAGTAGTGATTTTATCTTCTTTTTTATCCGAAATTTGCATCGAAAGGAGTAGTGAATTGAAATCCCAATCAACTTCAATTGTATCAAAGAATACCACATTATCCAAGACACTCTTGTCCTCCAAGCCTTAGTTTAAACCAACTTCTAGGGGTTCCAAGCATGAAATTTGCTTCAATTGCTTCACGTTTACTTGACCTAGAGCTTAGGAATGAAAGGGCCATTAAATCATATATGGTAATGTTGTTTGCACAACTTACTGTTGCAAAATTATGCAATTGTGACATGTAGATGTTATATTTCCACTTCTTTCAAGATAGTTAATTAAGTTTTGTTAAAAGATTGTGTTTTTTTACTAACAACCAATGGCTTTCTAATTGGTCTTGCTTGTTTTTAATGAAGAAAAAACACTTGTCATATTATTATTTTTGTGATTTTTTAAGCTACATTCCTATATATACACAATTGAATAAACATGGTTGATTTTTTATCTTTTTGTAAGTATGCACATATAAATAAATACATATCTCCCATGATGTAAATGCAAATGTATGAGCCCAAATAACATTCGTCTCAAATTTCCCCAAAACAAATCCTCTCTATGTTGAATTTTGTTAGTTTATTCATTATTTGTCATTGCAAGTTGTAATACCAAATCATCATTGATACATATATATATATATATACATTTCATGTTATTGTCAAGCAGTTTTTTCATACTAGATATTAAATTTTTGACAAACTAAGCACATAACATAAAATATAATTATCTAAAATTCACAACTTTCAGTTTAACTGGGAAATTCATTGTTACCATCATATCAAGTATCAATCATCTTTTGCAAGAAAAATATATATCACATCTTCTTATACTGCTAACTTTTATGTTTCAACCATAATGACAAACATAAATGCACATAAAAACATATATTATTGCAGACGCCAAATTTCGATAAATGCTAACAAAAACCATAATCAGAATTCATTTACCTGCCATTGGTCTTGCACATTAATGACTCAATTTCACATCATATTCCAAAACATTTAGCCAAAATTTAAAACATTAAAGAATAAAAGAACAGAAATACCAAAAACAAAACCAAAATGTTTGGAACTTCAAATGTCTAGAGTGATTAGCAAAGCCATTTTTATATTTTTCTCATTCACGCATGTATGAATACAAAATTTGAAAACTATCTTTACTAGGATACTAATAGTTACAAAATATAGTTCATATATAAACTGGCCAATTCTTAAACACATGTGCCAGCTCGGCATGAGCGCATGAGGAACGAGTCAAAGTAACGGAATAGAATAAATTTCATTAAAAATAAATAAATAAATATTTATTTATTTATTCATATTTTCACTTTTTCCAACGTCTTTATTGGGATTAGTGTCGGAAGGCTCCTTCGCCCCTTGAAAACCACACCCAAGAGCCCTAAACCTTGAAAAGAGAAACTTTGCCTTCATGTCTCTTGGGATGTGAGTTATGAATTCTTAAAGTTTATAGTTAATTAAATATATAAATCATCTAAGTCAAAGTATTTGAAATTTGTACCCTTCAAAGAGTCATAAGTTAATAAGAGTTGACTTATTTATAACACCGAGGTTGACACTTGGTTTAGAAAAAAAAAAAAAAACAAAAAAACAAAACAAAACAAAAAAACAAAACGGAAAAGATGTGATGATAGCACGGTTGCTTAATAATAGGGTGCTTTGTTTCAAATTGACTTTAATGCATGTATATTTATGTAATGCACATCAAAATAAAGTTCTTTAAGAGGAAGTTTTGTGTGGACTCTTTATGAAAGATTGAACCAAGGTAACATAAAATTTACATTGACTACATACAAAATAAACCACAAGATAAAAATCAATGCCAATGCTTATTGAAGAAAAGCTTTAATGCTAAAAAAAAACAATATATATGATTGAGATGAGAATGAGGCAATGTATGTTTTTAAAAAGAAAAAGAAATTAGAAACTCAATTTGTACAAAATATGTACTTTAAATCTTTGTAGTAAGCCATGTCAATGGATTTTGTGACATCTTTGATAGTTAGAGGTTGGCATTCCAAGTAAAGTTTCATTCTTTTGAAGTACAAAGTGTATGACAAGTTTTTCTTTTCTTCTTTTCTTTTCTTGCTTTTTATTAGTGGTGTGGTATCAAACTTTTGGTGTTGTTTTATGTTCTTTAAATTGTCTTGATTTAGAATATAGCATACACAATATTTAGATCCATATTTATTGAAGCATTTTTCTATTTATACTCTTGTTCTTATAACAACCAAGTAATTTTTATGAATAAAATACACTTTTTCTTTGTTTTTTTTTAATTTGTTTTGAGACTCTTTTAACTGAGATGTAACAATCAGTCAATTTTATGCTTCAAACTGACAGTTGCTATCAAATTCATGACTTTTGATTTGTAGAATGTTTTCAACGATTTTATTACATCCATACAACTTTTTTTTGTATTCAAATAAATAAATGAATAAATAATTTGAAAACTTCCTCTCTTTTTCCCTCCCCCCCCTTTTTTCCCCATGGAAATAGCAATTCCAACCTCAAAAACCTCACATACAGTTATTCTTATTCCCTCACAATACATCTTTGTTTCCTTTTTCTTGTGTGTATATATGTATATATATATATATATATAATTTTTCATTTGTTCCTTTTCTTTTCTGAAGTAATTGTATATTTTAAAAAAATAAAAATTGAAGTCTTCCGACCAAAGTCCCAAATTGATGGACCCACAAAGAGAGAGAAAAATGGTGCCTCCTGTAACTGTGTTGTGCTCCCCCCTGCATTGGGATTTGTGACACTTTGGCTTCAAACAATCTCAATTAGGGTTACTAAACTCTGTGGGCCACATGTATCATGCATCAAATTAGCTGACAAAGAGCGAAAGCAATTTCAAATTATACTACAAGAACAAACCATCTTTACTTCGAAAATGTGTGTAAAATAGTATTGTTCTCCCACCAATTCTGCATCAAAAAATAAGAGATAAGCAAACAAAAACGAAAGAAAAAAACTTAATGAACTTTTGATACTTTACTTTCAAAATTCAAAAAACACAAAGTTGTGGTTGGTTGAAGTCATCAATTGTGCTTGGAGAGATTCCCGCTACATCTACCGAGTCATCAGAGATGGAAATTGAAGGAAGTTGAAAGAGATCAACATGGAATCTTCCGAGGCATCTGTAATTGTTCAGTGGATGCTTGTTTTCATCACTTGTTTTGTGATTGCTTCAGGAATAATGCCAAAAGAGATTATTCGAGAATTGTTTAAATCTCTCTATTCTGAATTGTTTTGTTTTGTTTTGTTTTTTTGTTTTTTCTTCCTTCTTCTGTATGTATGTATATATAGGAATGCGAAATAGATCTAGGCTTGAAATTTACCCACTCATCTTAACCATTAGGAAAAAAGGAAAAATCACCTCTTGATTCATTTCTCCACTATTGGATCTAAAACCAATGAAAACCAAACACATTCATCATGATTACCATATTCTACATCATAGGTAGGTTGATTAACTAAAAAGTTGGGTCTATTTAATATTCCCTTTATTTATTTATTTGTTAAAATACATATATATATATATATATATATATATTTCTAAGCAAGTGAAAGTTGAAAGGCTCCACATTTGTACATTTGAAGATTATCAGTTCACTCTAAACTCTAAACCTGGACACTTCCGTGGCTGCTGCTGTTACCTCCTCCTCCGAGTCCTTGCTCTTGGTCGCAACGCGTGCGGTATCGCTTTTTGTATGCCAAGGAGACTAGCGTTGTTTCGAGGTCATGGGGCGTGGTTACTCTTTTGGGCAGTTGGGGTGCAAGAGATTTCTCACCTGCTTCTGAAAAGAGAGACTAAATAACCAGACCTTAAAATTACTTTTCATCCCTCTTGCCGAGGACTCTCAAGCTGGGGATGCAGTTCATAGTGAACCAGTTGTTCAGTGTTTCGATGAGGCGGTCGAGCTCCATCTGTGTAATCCCGTGTGGTGAGTGATGTCATGTTTCAGACTTGGCAGCGGGAACATACTCTAGTTTGAAGTCTCGTTGTTGTGGTACACAGATCTGAGTGGGCTTTGCAGGTCTAACTTGCCATTTGCCTGGATGTAGATTCTGACGAGAGAGCAAGAGAGCGAGAGGAAGGTGCGGATGAAATGGGCTTGCGCATTATCGCTTTAAATACGCATCTCGAATAGCTTATTGAAATTACAGTCTGCACAATTGGATTGACGCCATCTAATCCTCCTGTACGAGAATGCCTTTTCATGCAGAAGTCGGCAGAGCCAGTCACAAGAACCTGGACTAGAGGGGGATCAAATTTCCTGTTTCATTCCATTAGAGGACTGTATATCCAATCCCACTGATGAAACCCTACAGTGGTACTTTGTACTTGTCCTTGTGCTCAGGTTTGTGAAGCTTGTAGATTGGGGGCTACTGTTGCTGAAGAATCTGCTGACTCAAAATTCCGTCAATGAGGTCGCCATTGGGCCTACACCATTGTACGAGAACACCGCGCCTTTTATGAATTTCGGTCACATAATTGGCAGTGGTGCTTAGCCAGGGTTTAGTACAAAATGTCTGTTAGGTCCGGAGAAGGTAGCACGTGGTTTTCTTTCCTGTGGTTTGGACTATCCCGAGCTCATCATGTATACTTTCCTTGGCATTGTTACCAACAGCAAAGCGCTGGGGCTGTGGGAGTTGCAAGCTTCATGTGGTGGACTGTTGCGAAGTATACGAGAGTAAAAATGCTGTCTCTTCTACAAGCTTTTTCCGTTGCGGCAAAGATATTTAAGAGCTCTGAGCAACATCTGCCAAATGACATAGTAATGGTATTACAGGTTGGAAAGTGTATCTCGTGATACAGCCACTTATTGCAAGTGACTGGAAATGCGTATGTTCCCCAGAAAAATAAAAGTGAGGCTCGATAATGCTTAAATCTGAAGAACTCAGAAATCACTGGAATTACTTACTCACACTTATGCAACCTTATTCTGGCCAAAAGGTGTGAGGAGGAAGATACACTGAAACGAAATGTGTCACAGATATTTTCTTCCCTCCCTACTTGCCACCTTCTTCGCACGTAATCAAAAGTCACCACCTGTGTCATTTCTTTGGTTCCTCCATCTTGAAGACGAACCTCAAAGCTTTTGGGAAAAGAATTCGACCGATTTGCAGAGTGAGCAACGAAGATAGTTCCTAAGATTATAAACGTATGGACTTCACAGCTGCAGATTTAACGTCACAACCAGGCATACATGACACCACATGTTCTTTTTATAGTTTTCTAGAAATATAAACTAGTTCCATCCAGTTCCCTCCAGTTACTAGGTAGCTTGGATTCGTGTATATCATACTTTGCAAATGAAATTATTCGTGGCATGTATTCATGATTGCTGAACATGCAATGCTGTCAAGAGAAATAATTGCTGTTGACAGCATCACTTTTCCCGAAACATCACAGAGAACATGTTGGATGCAAATATGGGTTACCCGTCACATGAGTCGCCTAGAGTTGTCGTTGTTGTGGTCCTTAATCTTAGCATCTTGCTGAATTCTATTACGTTATGCCAGTCACCTTTTTCCGATCACGCCTCCTTCCAGATCAACGCAGACAACTCCTACGGAACATTTTGTGCACTTCATTGACGTAGCTTGTCACGTCTAAGTCTGCTTTGTGCTCATGAAGGAAACCGAACACGAGGTCTGCAACCAGGGCCAAATGAACTGTCAAGTACACAAACCTGCAGAATGTACCCATTTTGATATTGAATCAAGGATTTTATTTATTTACTATTATTATTTTTAATCTCCACTTTGAGGATCTTGATAGAAAGAGATGTTAAACAAGGGTGTTTATTATGTCATTTCAATATTGGTGCAAAAGTACACCCTCAATTAATTGTGCACTTTGGTTAACGTTGTAATTGGAAATCTTAGTTGCCTCAAGAATCCTATGTTTGATACCACCATTCAGAAAATTCATACGACATGATTGAACACTGCATCTTTGGTCTCTTAACCACTACGTAATTGACTGTTGAATGAAATACCTCCACATTTTGTGAAGCCTTGGCTTTGACAACTTCACGATGAAGATCAAGGAAACAAGCCTTGTTCCTAAGATTGAGGCATTGCCACCTTCATCTGCGTCTCCATGAGCATGGGGCAGCTTTCTTTCAAATGCATATTCAGAAGACCGCTCTATCTTTACAGAGCATACCTGCAATACCCCCAGAAAGTACATTCTTGTTGAAATGCCGTGGAAGAACTCAACTAATACAAAACAAATGTACTTTACATAGGAACCACTACAAGACAAAAATGTGTAAAAATAGAAACGAAACAAATACCATGCAATACAAAATAAAAAGAAGGCATTTTATTCAAAGAAACATAAATCAGCTATAAATGATAGCATAAACCCTTGTAGATGAAAAATACTATCCATTCATCTATCTTGAGAATAACCCTTGTACTCTATACATAATGCATAGATCCATTCTAATCTTGTCAATTCAATATATGTTTTGTTATTTTATTTCTACATGGTATGAGAGCAAGCTAGGTCTTGGATCTCTTATCTCCTAGTACTGGTCTATGCATCAGCAATTTATTTTATTTGATACCATAGTTAGCTTACAAAATCTCTTTCTCTTTGTATAATATTAAGCAAACTATTCTCCTATGTTTGATCTCAATAGGCACAATGGATATTGAAGTTTCTAAAGAAGTCATGTATAGTAGATCTTCAAACTTCGGACTTTAGAGGTCAATATTCCTTAGCATATTTCTCACAAACGGCCTTCAAGACATAGTAGGAGAAGCACCTACATCTACACCAACTCAAGATAATACTACTTCAAGAACAACAAGTTCATCAAATCGAGGTATTGATTTTGTCAATACTAGCAAACCTGCTATTCTTCTATTGATGATATTTGCAATTAGCAAACCTCTTTAAGATGGTAAAAAGCTTTGACTAAAACAACAACAAACATCTTCAAGCATTGAGTTTTTTCTACAATCCAAGCTACACATATTTATAGAAGACATCTTCAATCCACACCTTGCATGGAACAGACTTGCTAATATGTACCATATGAATACCATTGCCAATACAATGGTTATATTTAATAAGTGGAAGAACTTGCAAATGTCCAACAATATAGATGTCATAATCTTCATAACAAGAGTCTACAACATCCAATGAGAATTCACTTATATCAGCTAGCCATAGACCAATACCATTATTGTACACAAGATTCTCAGTACATTATTTTAATGCTTCAATCTCCTTGCTCATCAAATTCAGAATGAATGCACCATTTTCATATAATATTATTGTATACCTCCATACAACCAATCTTGTGGAGCTTTTCAACTTGACCATATAAATCATGATACCTTCTTTTGTACATGCTATGGTAATCATGGATATACTTCCAAGTATTGTCTTGCATCCACACCTCTATATACTACACCATCTCAATTTTTTAGACCACCACATCAAATCTATGCATCTCAAAACAAGAATTTTATTCCATCTAATCAATTGTCATGTATGGACCTCTTTGCCCTTCTCTTGATCATATAAATTTAAATATAACAGAGCATTTGGATCCGTTTCTGGATGAATAATAATACTTTGAAGAACTATTGAAAACTACCCTTGATAAACTTACAATCCATGGCAATGTTTCCAAATAGATAGTAGATTTTGGTGCATTGGTCCACTTTTTAGGAGATAAAAATTCTTTTTAATATTTAATACTTTCTACTTCATTTTTTATAATCTTGACAAGAAGCAATATTCATGTTATCAAGGAACAAGACTCAATACATGTATTTCTTTCTTTGAGAGAAATAAAAATACTTAAAGTTGTTAAATATAATTTAGGGCTTCATTGTAATATTCTATCTATTAGAAAGCTTATTAATGATGATCATATTGTAGTTTTTGACCATTCTTCTTGTATTATATTAACTTCGACTAAACCCTTTATTCTACTTACTTTGAACTACGAAGACAATACAACTAGATTATATAAATTACTCACCATTTTTAATCAACATGAAGAACTTTCACTGACTTATGAAACTCAAACCTTAATGAACTTATCTTATCTATTACATAAATAATTGGGTTATATCAATTTTGAGAGCCTTAGCTTGATAAACAAGGAAGATCTTGTAATTGACATACTTTCATTATCTATAATACCTCAATCATGCATAACTTGTCTTAAATAAAAACAAATCTACTAGTACTTTTTAAAGCATTCTTCTCATTGCATGACTAACCTATTTGCTATTATCAACACTAACCTTTGTGGTCTACTTTCAATCCAATTTCTAGGTAAGTCTCATTAATTCTTATTGTTTACAAATGACTAGACCAAAAAATTCTAGATATGTTTTATTAATTCTAAAGCTAATACTTTTGCAAATTTCAGAACCTTTCATTTAATGATAAAGTAATAAAGCAATCATCCACTATTTCAACTACAATCTAATAGAGGTAAGGAATTTACTAGTCATGAATTCATATAATATCTTAAATAACATCACATCTTTTGTGACATCACCATTATCCAGACACACTTCTCTTTCCCTCCAATAAAACAAGGTTGCTAATTAGAAAAATTAGATTGTATTTAATAAGATTTTTTCTATAATGATAGGCTGAAGCAATACATATAACAATCCAGCTAATGAATTATTCACCAACAAAATCCAACAAACATACCTCACTAAAAAAATTATTTAGTGGAATTAAGTTAGACCTAAGTTAACTTTGTGTCTTCAAGTGTATTACCTATGTTGACCAAAGAGGAGGCAATAAATTCATCTTCCATTCTATTAAAGGCATCTACCTTGGATTCAATTCAAAAACTAAGGCCAATTAAGTTTGGATTTCTTTACTATGACAACTTATAATTACTCAAGACATGGTTTTTGAAGAACACAAATTTTCTAACATGCTCAAATCTTCACTCAATCATAGCAAATATTGGCCATTAACATCATCATTACCACATTTTTCATCACAAAAATCATAATCCATTGACAATCTAATATAATATTTATTAGCGAGCTAGATATTAAAGATCCTCACTAATTCTTCAACTAAAGACCATTCCATAGCAATATAAACTATTTTTCTTGACCTCGCTTCCTACCACTATGCAATTGACAACCTCAATTTTTGATTGTCTACAACAACTTTTGATGAATGTCTCTACTACTATATTAGGCCAAAACTATAAGTAACACTAATCTTTCTTTTTTATCAATCCATAGTAAAATTTAAACTAGATGTATAAGGCATCTACTAAGTTAGGTAAAAGAACTTTGTTGGCCTATATAAATTACTATTGGAGCCATCAAATTTTTAAGATGCCATTATATAGCCAAAATGGTATAAAGTTATATAAGATGAGATATCTTCAATTTATAAAAATGGTATGTGGATACTTACTAATCTACCACCTAAAAAAACTTGTATTAGTACATAAATAGGTATTTAAAGCCAAATTTAAAAAATGATGGAATCTTATAAAAATATAAAATATGCCATACAGTTAGAAGATTTAAACAATAAGTAGGCATAGATTATGAAGATACCTTTGTATATGTAGTAAAATAGGATACAATTTGGTTGCTATTAGGACTTGTTGCACAAAAAAACTAGCTACTATATTATATGGATACCAAGACAATATTTTTATATAAAGATCTAAAACATGAAGTATTTATTACATAACTTCAACGTTTTTAAGTTGTAAGTAAAGAACATCTTGTATATTGTCTTTACAAAATATTATATGGACTTTAACAAGCACTAAAGCAATGGTACAAGAAAATAGATACTTTTCTTTAAGGTCAAGGATTCACAAAAGGACAAAGAGATTATAATCTATATGTAGTTTAACTTGAAATAAAATACATATTTTGATACTTGATAAGTATTTAATATTTT